ATAGTTTTGGTATTCCCCACGCTTCCTTTACGGAATGATGGGTCACGTGACGTGTCACTTGTCGCCATTTCTTCCTCAAGTAGATCTACTGCAGCATTTGCAGCTATTACGACTTCGATCTCAGTCTCATCTTTACACTCATTTGGATCTGGAAGTCCAGGTGTCTTGGGGGTAGGTGCTTTCTTCAACCACATTCGCAATGCCATAGTCAGTTCGTCAGAATTCGGAACATAAGACTGATGTGGTTTTCATCTCTTTATATACTAGTACTTGCATCACGGTATCTCACTTCCTAAGCACTTAATACTTCCGTGAGTAAACGGATTGCTGTGTAAACCAGTATATCGCACAGATAGGGATTTCCTGTGAGTAGGCAATAAACGCTCTTCGACAGGTTCAGCCACTCTGTTTGTTTTCACTGCTATTAGTGGCGGCCAAAGAGACAGCTGGCAGGTTAGGGCAATTACTGATTGCGCCAATAATTGACCGCCAAGTAGTCTAAACTGTCAATTCCGCTAAAAATTGCACCACGCTAAAATAATACGCTACAGTATCGTTAGTATATTTTGGGATTACACTCTCTTAGTAAAGTACAGATTCTAGTATTTTTAGGGTTGAGTCCCATCCGGGATTCGAACTCCACACCCTCAGAGTCAGGCACCTAATCGCCAGCACACAAAGTCAGACGCCTAGACCGGCTTCAGCCACCGCTGCTTTCCACAAAAATCCTGGATGGGACTCAACCCCAAAAAAGTACTAGAATCTGTACTTTACTAAGAAAGTGTAATCCCAAATATAACATATGTTACCAACTACTAGGAAGGAAATATTGTTAACTAAGTTGATTCACTTATAAACCGCCAAACACTACCCTTTGTCAAATCTTATTGCAGTGCAGTAGCCTGATATATACAACACAGATTGCTAAATGAAAAGAAAACACACATATCGAGAATATGGAATGCAAAAGAGCAAGAATACAGTCTCAGTCTCACCATATTATCATTATCATAATTATTATTATATTATTATTATAGTCCATTGTACCATGCTATTTCCATTCACAGTAAATGCTCAAAGCACAGAATTAAAATATTAGTCACTTGAGATGAAACTAGTCATCTGACAGTCTAAAGAGATGAGTTTTGAGACTTCGCTTTGAAGTCAAGTAGATTTGGACAGTTTTTCAAACATTCCAGCAGTTTAGTTCGTTCCATGCCTTATGCAGCATACTTGAAGGTTCACTTCCAATAGCTGGACGCTCTAACTGGAGGGATCACGAGCAGTGACTTGGACTTGGATCGTAATGTTCTCGCGGGGATGTAGGGCTGAATCAGTTCAGTTATATAGTCAGTGCATTTGGCCAGTTCCAATAGCTGGACGTTCTAACTGGAGGGATCCACGAGCAGTGACTTGGACTTGGATCAGAATGTTCTCGCGAGGGATGTAGGGCTGAATCAGTTCAGTTATATAGTGCGGCATTTGGCCAGTTACACCCCTTGAAAACAAAGCAGAGAGTTTTGAAGAGTATTCTGTGCTAGATGGGTAGCCAGTGGAGCTGCTTAAGTACTGGAGTGATATGCTCTCATGGTTTGGTCCTGGTTACGATTCGGGCAGCTGCATTTTGCTTTCCTTGCTGTAACTTTGATAGTTGAACATTGGTGGCGCCCACTAGGAGGGAGTTGCAATAGTCGAGACTGGATGTTACCAGTGAGATATCAGCTTATATCCAACCCACATCTCACCATGTCAGCTTCCGCCTCACCTTCATCTCACCATGTCAGCTTATATCTCACCCACATCTCACCACGCCAGCTTCCGTCTCACCTTCATCTCACCATGTCAGCTTATATCTAACCCACATCTCACCATGCCAGCTTCCGTCTCACCTTCATCTCACCATGTCAGCTTACATCTCACCCACATCTCACCATGCCAGCTTCCGTCTCACCTTCATCTCACCATGTCAGCTTACATCTCACCCACATCTCACAATGTCAGCTTCCGTCTCACCTTCATCTCACTGTATCAGTTTTGGCCCATACAACTGTCAACCCCAAAGTGCACATCATCACATGATCGTAACTCAGGAAAGTCTGAACAATTTCACACCACGACGAGCTCTCCTTCCCAGAGCACCGATGCATACATGACCTGATATGACCATCTACCTAATGACAGGCTAGCTATTAAACGCTCATGATTTGGACACTGGGGAAAATTATGTGTCTGGGAATGGACATTTCAATTTCACACCCTGCTTCCAATGATGGAGGCTTGAACTTGACATGGACATAAACTGTAACAAAGGGAAATGGGGTATACCGTCCCGCTGAAGATTACTGCACTCAGCAATGTTCTTGTTCTATCCCATTAATGTCCCTACAACAATGATCATTTACTGCGAGATACTTGGGATTACACTTTCTCAGTAGTTGGTTTGTTGTTTAAACGCCGCACTGAGCAATATTCCTAACTAGTGTTCTATCCCATTAATGTCCCTACAACAATTATCGTTTACTGCGAGATACTTGGGATTACACTTTCTCAGTAGTTGGTTTGTTGTTTAACGCCGCACTGAGCAATATTCCAACTATATGGCGGCAGTCGGGAAATAATCAAGTCTGGACCAGACAATCTAGTGATCAACAACATGAGACTCGATCTACGCAACTAGGATATGATGTGATGTGTCAACCAAGTCAGTGAGCCTGACCACCCAATCCCGTTAGTCGTCTCTTAGTAAAAGTACAGAGTCTAGTACACTGAGTCCCATCCAGGATTCAAACTTACTCTCTCGCTGTGGGACATGCAAGCAGCTCGAGATGGCCAACACACAAAGCACCACTTCTCACCATTGCTGGAAACAAAACTCCAACCTCCACCTGATCCGACACGTTAGATCCGGGTTAGAGTTGGTCTTCAGTAACCCATGCTTGTCGTTAGAGTAGTCAGGGCTTGTTGACTTGGTTGATACATGTGATCTGTTTCAATCAATGTTCATGGTGTTGATCACTGGATTGTCTCGTCCAGACTCGAAACCAACCAACCAACCAACCAACCAACCAACCAACCAATCAACCAACCAACCAACCAGCCAACCAACCAACCAATCAGCCAACCAACCAACCATCCAACCAACCAACCATCCAACCAACCAACCATCCAACCAACCAACCAACCGATCCATCTACAAGATGCCAGAAGCGGTCTAGAACATCCCAGATATAACAAAATCCTGATTTCCTTCATGATAAAGACAGCCGAACTAGTATCAGGTGTCCCAGGGACATACAGCTTGAAAACTAGTATCAGGTGTCCCAGGGACATACAGCTTGAAAACTAGTATCAGGTGTCCCAGGGACATACAGCTTGAAAACTAGTATCAGGTGTCCCAGGGACATAGTATCAGGTGTCCCAGGGACATAGTATCAGGTGTCCCAGGGACATAGTATCAGGTGGTGTGCCAGGGACATAGTATCAGGTGTCCCAGGGACATACAGCTTGAAAAACTAGTATCAGGTGTCCCAGGGACATACAGCTTGAAAACTAGTATCAGGTGTCCCAGGGACATACAGCTTGAAAACTAACACAGATTGGAAGGTCTGACTTGGTGAATTGCTTCATGAACAATTACTGCCTGTCATTGTTTCACAGTGGTATAGGTGTTTGCTCATGATATCAACCCCTGGTTTGTCTGCAACAGATTTCATTATTCAACATGTTCAAAGGACGTCCGGTAATAGTGAGTGAGTTTGGTTTACGCCCCTTTCAGCAATATTCCAGCAACATCGCTGCGGGGGGACACCAGAAATGGGCTTCACACATTGTACCAAAATGGGGCATCGAACCACAGTCTATAGCATGACAAGAGAACGCTTTAACCACTAGGCTACCCACCTACCCATCTGGTAACATATCATACCAAACTTCATTGAAATTGGACCCAAAAGGTTCAACCAGTAACACAATAATTAATGGCTGGTTGCCCCCTCACCACGTTAATGACGGCTAACACACTGTCTGTGAGCAGATTAAACACTAGTGTTGCTGTCAAACACCAACAGCCTGTTAGATTTCATACATATCCAGGCAGTCGAGTTGGGCCCATGTGATTGGTCATCAAATCTTCATGGGGTCACCAGCCAATCATCAATCACAACCACCAGGGCCAACCATCTGCAGGTCACCAGGTCCGGCAGCTGGAGGACTGAGATTCAGGTCAAATACAACACCCATGATATCACGGCCAGGCAATTACTTGCAGTAATAATTCACCGAAACCAGGGACAAGCCAGAAATCATTTAATATTCTCAAGATAACTTGTAGTTTTGTAAATGCCCTTTGAACAGTGGTTGAGGTGTAATCAAGGCATCGCAGCCTGATGGGGGGAGCAGGGTCTGGAGTGATGTCTGGACCAAACAATCTGGTGATTGACGTTACGAGTAAAGATCTACGCCATCTGGGAAGCATAACACGCCATCACCAAGCTGATTGATTGATTGATTGATTGATTGAGTGTGTGAGTGAGTGAGCTGTCGAGGTTGTCGAGCTGTCTGGATGGCCAATCAAATCACTGACGAACCAATGTGTAACGAGTCATCACCAAGTCTGACCACTCATTCATCAAGTAGCCGTTTCTGAAACCATAGGTGGCTGAGAGACTAATTCGAATCAAGAAATGTGAGAGAGGTGAGTGAGTGAGTGAGTGAGTGAATTTAGTTTTAGGCCGCACTCAGCAATATTCTAGCTATATGGCAGGGGTCTGTAAATAATCGAGTCTGGACCAGACAATCCAGTGATCAACAGCATGAGAATCGATCTGCGCAATTGGGAATCAATGACATGTGTCAACCAAGTCAGCGAGCCTGGCCACCCGATCCCGTTAGTCGCCTCTTACGACAAGCATCATAGGTTACTGAAGATCAATATCCTAACCCGGACCTTCACAGGTCGTGAAAGAGGTAGGTTTATCACCATTTTGAGCAGTCTTCTAGTCATGTCACAGCATGCGAGTTACCTAAGTGTTGAAGGAAAACCTGAAGTGAAGTCCATCTCAGACTTTCACCTCTTTGGTGAGTCATCAGAGTGAAAAACAAACCAAGCATACATTAAATAACTGCAGTCTGCCGTGACGAACATATTGACACGTAAATTTACTTCCATAAGGATCCATACAAACATCAAACTATGAGCCTGACATAAGATCTACCTAACACGGGCACCAGTGACACTTTTTTCAAAACACAGGCCAGTATTTAGAGTGGTTGTTTCTACCTAAATCACAGTGAATGAGTGAGTCTAGTTTTATACCCCACTCAGGAATATTCCAATTTCCAGCTATATGGCGGCAGTCCGAAAATAATCAAGTCTGGCCCAGGCAATCTAGTGATCAACAGCATGAGCATCTATCTACACAGTTGGGATATGATGCCATGTGTCAACTAACTTCAGTCAGCGTGCCTGACCACTCGATCCCGTTAGTCATCTCTTACGACAAGCATAGGTTACTGAAATTCAATTCTAACCCGAATCTTCATGGGTCTAAAACCATATTGGGTGCTGTACAAATTTTGCATATTTTTATGTATATTATCCCCGCAGGACTGTCAGGATAGAATGGCCATATGTTAAGACAAACATTTCTGTACACATCAATCAAGTGGAAGGTTTTTACCGGTCCCAGCAGAACCACGTGTCTATCATCACATGACATCACATGACACTGCATGACATGAATGGAGATGAGGTGATTGATTGGTCCCTGAAGACGGCCAGGAAGGAAATAATTATACAGAATTTATCATACATCAGTGTACGAAATAAGGCCCTTAAACAGTCTAAATTTACAGCTAGCCAGCCTGATGGTCTGTTAAATATTTTAGATGTTCCATACATCTAAGCAAATTCCATGGTTACATCCACATACCCTGATGTCTGGCTGGGTTTGGGCTTATTTCATACACTGTATACATGCATGCAACACAAGCCACCATTCTTGTCTTCTCCACATGCTGAATATACAAGGAGAGATATGTCTTTCCGAACATGCCACAGGCACGCATACAGATGATTACATGTCAGGGCTCGATTTAGTGCTTTGTTACTTGCACTGGTGCAGCCCAATATTACAAAGTGCAACCTAGTTATAAGTCTAACTTGCACCAGGTGCATGTCAAGTTTTGAGTGGGTAAACTTCTGAATAAAACATCTAAATAATTCAACAGCATATTTCTTTCACTGCATATTGCAATAAAAGCAGTACAACTGGAATTTGGCTGGCGCAACTAGGTTTTTATCTTAGGTTGCACCTGGTGCAAGTAGGTTAACATCTCTTAAATCGAGCTGTGTCACACTACAGATTTCTCTCCCAAAGAATTGATGTCTGATTCGGATGCTGGATTCAGACACGTTTTCCAAAGTTGGGAGAATGATGTTGGGTAACTGTTAAGTACATTCGGCAAGTTTCAAATTTGTATCAACTCGTGTCAATACATTTGAAAAAGACACCGGGAGATTCTCCGGCACTTTTTAACTTTTCACAACTGACTGTTGACATTTTGTAAGAACTGAAGCCATAATTGGATGCAGACAAAAAGGAAAATAAAGGCAACAGACCATATTCTTTTAGAGGAATGTCACATTGTTTCTTAATTGACATGTCAAAAAACTAAGACTGGGTTCGTAATCAACATGTACACCATTCATGTACCTGTAATTAACCAAATCTTTGATGAGGGTGGGTGAGGCTTCCTATCATCATCGAGATAGGATCAATTATACAATAATATGGCCACACAGGGATCGATTTAGTGCTTTGTTACTTGCACTGGTGCAACCCAATATTACAAAGTGCACCCTAGTTATTTGTCTAACTTGCACTAGGTGCAAGTCAATTTTTGAGTGGGTAAACTTCTGAATAAAACATCTAAATAATTCAATAGCATATTTCTGATATTACATATTGCATTAAAAGCAGTGCAACTGGAATTTGACTGGTGCAACTAGGTTTTTATCTTAGGTTGCACCTGGTGCAAGTGGGTTAACATCTCCTAAATTGAGCCCTGCCACATATATACTTATATGAACTCCACGGCACAAGGACATGCTCTAAGTTTATACAACATAATAGACATTATTACCCCTAGCTACCTGGGAGGCGCTAGTAGGTTAATAGTCACATGACTTATCCCACCGGGTACCCATTTTCTGCTGCGTGAACAGAGCAACGTGCATGTGGCTTAAACCCAGTTCTTTTCATACCAGAAGATGTCAGAACATGGTTCGTTGCAAAACAAATACAAGTGTTTTGGTTGGCTAGCCGGCGGTGGGGTAGCCGGTGGTGGGGTAGCCCAGTGGTTAAAGCATTAGCTTGTCACAATGAAAAGCCAGGTTCGATTCCCCCTTTGGGTACAATGTGTGAAGCCAATTTCTGGTGTCCTATTGCTGTAATTTTGCTAAAAGTCCGGTAAAATCACACTCACTCACTCACTCACTCACTCACTGTGTGGTCCTGATTATTATTCAGTTTTTACTTGAATTTGAAAGTCAGACCTAGAGACCTAGATGCTTATGGAAATCAACTATCTGCCAGCTTTCTGAATACAACCTGTGTCCGAGATCAATGCTAATTTCAATTCTGACAGTTAAAGAGGATTGTTTGTAGTCTCTCATGCCTAGTGTTCCAGTCAATATTGATTACAAGCCTGTTGTGTGAGAGTCTTCATATCACAGTCTGTGCTCAACGAAAACATCTTTAAGGCTGCTTGAGGAACTATCTTATTTTTATAACTGCAGCAAAGTTGAATTGCATCTGGCTTAACGACAAGCTGTTGCTATTGATTAGGTTGAAAAAACTCCATTTAGGCCAAAACAAAAAGTATTACACTGCAACACGATACCCAGCTAATTAGGATACCTAATACAAGTGTGCCAAGCTCTTACTACATCACAATTCCCATCTGACCCATGGAGATCCGGGTTACAATATTGATCTTCAATAACCCATACTTGTCGTAAGAGGCGACTAACGGAATCGGTAGCCAGGCTCGCTGACTTGGTTGACACTTGCCAATTTTCAACATTCAACGGAATATTTTTACTTGGCAATTGTAATATCAATCATTAAGAATATGCATGTTTATTACAAATCATCTTCTCTTTTTTGTCGTTTAGTCTAAAACTGGTCTGTATATTCATAGTGAAGCAGTAGAGGTTTGAGAAAACACAGAGCGAGTTACAAGATCTGACAGCTACTTCTGTTTATTTGATGTAAACCAAGTTCACTAGTCAGTTTCAAGAATAAGGACTATTTATATGGATATACAACATCCTTATTCTATATAGGTGGCGCTTCGACATAGATTCTAATGTCGTTGTTATGATATACAACTTCTTTATTCTATATAGGTGACGCGTTTAGACATAGATTCTAATGTCGTTATGATATACAACTTCTTTATTCTATATAGGTGACGTTTAGACATAGATTCTAATGTCGTTGTTATGATATACAACTTCTTTATTCTATATAGGTGGCGTTTCGACATAGATTCTAATGTCGTTATGATATACAACTTCTTTATTCTATATAGGTGACGTTTAGGACATAGATTCTAATGTCGTTGTTATGATATACAACTTCTTTATTCTATATAGGTGGCGTTTAGACATAGATTCTAATGTCGTTGTTATGATATACAACTTCTTTATTCTATATAGGCTACGTTTCGACATAGATTCTAATGTCGTTGTTATGATATACAACTTCTTTATTCTATATAGAAGTGACGTTTCGACGTTGTTATGATATACAACTTCTTTATTCTATATAGGTGACGTTTCGACATAGATTCTAATGTCGTTGTTATGATATACAACTTCTTTATTCTATATAGGCGACGTTTGACATAGATTCTAATGTCGTTGTTATGATATACAACTTCTTTATTCTATATAGAGCTTGACGTTTAGACATAGATTCTAATGTGGATTGTCAAGCAACTGCCTCAACAAATGTAGTTGATATATCCAGCATATGCACCTAGGTACCTAACGCATTACCACTGTGTGGTACCCGTGAAGATCGGGTTAGAATTGGTCTTCTGTAACCCATTCTTGTCGTGTAAGAGGCAATCGTGTGGTCAGACTCCTGACTTGGTTGACTCACCCAATTGTGTAGATTAATGTTCATTGTATTGATCACTGGATTGTCTGGTCCAGACTCGATTATTTACAGACCACCACCATATAGCTAGAATATTGGTGATTGCTGTGTTAACCTACAACCCAACCAACTAAATCCCATCTTGACAAGGTTTAAACAGCGGATGTGATCAACCATCAGATGTCAAAATACACAAACGTAATTCATCCATCTCGATGATGGATGGGCTTGGATGAACCAAATCATCCAGCCTGCAGAATGAAGGATGACATCTTGCCACCATGCCAATATCAAAGACCTAATTAGGGGGAAGAGAGTGTTAAGCCATCGGGTCCACTTCATAACATCAGCCAATGTTAAAATGTGGTTATGCACCCTAACCCCCGGCCGCCTCCGTGGTGTAGTGGTTAGAGCGGCTGCCCAGAGAGCGGATTAGGTCGCGGGTTCGATCCCCAACCGCTTCATACCAAAAAGACGTTAAAATATGGTACTTGTTGGTCCCTGCCTGGCGCTCGGCATTAATGGGTACAACAAGGACTGGTCGGCTCGGAGTCAGTATAATGTGTCTGAGTGGGGTATTCATGCTTCACTGTGGCATGGTATCTCAGTGGGCTAGCACTATAAAACCAGCTTCAGTCTGGGCTAGTACAAGCAGCCGCACATACACATACACACGCATGCACGTCGTCATATGAGCGAAATATTCTCAAACAGCGTTAAACCCAATTTCACCTCACCTCACCTTGGCCCCTGGTCGTTCGTGAGTTAGTTTGTGAGTTCGTGAGTGAGTGAGTTATTGAGTGAGTGAGTGAGTGACCTCCCAAGCCATGAGTGAGCGGGTAACTGGGTATTTGGTTGTTGGATGAATGACTGAGCATAAGTTGAAAATTGAGAGAGGGCTCCAAAATT